TTTTGGCAACATATATATATATATATATATATTTTTTTTTTTTTTTACATCTATTTGTAATAACATTTGCACAACATTTTTTAATGACATTGATATTACAATGATATTATATATATATTTTAGCCCAATCCAAGGTCTTTTAAGCATAACCATGAGTGCCCTGAAATATTTAATTTTCATAACTTATATATTATATATTATTTTATACTTCTTTTTGCACTATTCTCATTGTATGCACACTTAAATGCAAACACTTAGCGATACTAATGCACAGTTTTGTCATGACAATAAAGCACATTAATCTGATTTTCTCTAGAGAAAGTGCGGGTCATTTTCACTGAGATGTGAGTTATAGTTAGAAGTGCTTTATAGCATGCTGTGACGACAACAGCAGTCTGGTACAATCAGGGGATATGGAGCAGAGCAGGTTATGGGATTCCCCTAGGGTTTCTTTAATCACGGTGGATTTATCAAATTATTTAATGCATGCAATTTTAAATAAGCATACGCCCAGTATAAGAGCTACGCTGGACGTGTTTTCATTTAAAATTACTTTGATTAAATGTTGCTCAGTAGCAACTTAAAGTCATAATTTGTGTCAATGACTGCCAAGTGGTTCCCAAACAATTTCACCAATTTTAGGTTCCAGGATTCCATGAAAAAAAAAAAAAAATTCATTTAAATTACATATCACTTGCATTGAATGGCATGCCAGTTTATATATAATGTGAACCAGTGCTTAAATTTCTTCAACAGTGAATAACAAGGGGTGATCCAACATAAAAATCGTTGAATTTAGAAGATGTTTTTGCATTTATAAATCACAGGGTAAACTTAAAAGGAAAAGAAAAGTATCTAAAATGACTAAGAGAGTTTACTTAGAGTTCAAATTCAAGGACAATCCCACTGGAGAAACCTGGAACTGAGTGCATTGATCAATACATACATTATACAATATATACACAAATGCATTGCGTTTTGCACAAAATGCATTGCATTGAATTTCGTACACTCTATACTCATGCATAAATTGTGTGTAATATCATGAGTACTTATTAAGGCAGGTTAACAAGTCAAATTCTCAATTTGACCAATAAACGTGAGCTCTATAAACCTTCCATTTATTAGCATAGAGCTTTAGCCACTACCCCACCAAACCTAAACTCACAAACACACCACAATTAATCCACCTAAAAAATATGCATGGATTGTAATTAGTTGTGCATTTACACTTCTCTTTTTCAGTGCTGGGTAGTAACTGATTACATGTAATCTGGATTACGTAATCCGATCCCAAAAATTAAGCGCTTGTAATTAGATTAAATTACATTTTTAAATACTTGTAATCAGACTACAGTTACTTATTTATTGATTAAATGATTACATATTATTTACACAATAGCAACAAATTATTTATAATTTGATCCCCTTTAATTCTTCTTTTTCATCTTTCTAAATTTTCATCTAAAACACCTAACACTTACAGTGGGTACGGAAAGTATTCAGACCCCCTTCAATTTTAGAAAAACACTTGACATTTTTGCAGATTTATTAAAAAAGAAAAACTGAAATATCACATGGTCCTAAGTATTAAGTATTTTTGCTCAGTATTTAGTAGAAGCACCCTTTTGATCTAATACAGCCATGAGTCTTTTTGGGAAAGATGCAACAAGTTTTTCACACCTGGATTTGGGGATCCTCTGCCATTCCTCCTTGCAGATCCTCTCCAGTTCTGTCAGGTTGGATGGTAAACGTTGGTGGACAGCCATTTTTAGGTCTCTCCAGAGATGCTCAATTGGGTTTAAGTCAGGGCTCTGGCTGGGCCATTCAAGAACAGTCACAGAGTTGTTGTGAAGCCACTCCTTCGTTATTTTAGCTGTGTGCTTAGGGTCATTGTCTTGTTGGAAGGTAAACCTTCGGCCCAGTCTGAGGTCCTGAGCACTCTGGAGAAGGTTTTCGTCCAGGATATCCCTGTACTTGGCCGCATTCATCTTTCCCTCGATTGCAACCAGTCGTCCTGTCCCTGCAGCTGAAAAACACCCCCACAGCATGATGCTGCCACCACCATGCTTCACTGTTGGGACAGTATTGGACAGGTGATGAGCAGTGCCTAGTTTTCTCCACACATACCGCTTAGAATTAACGCCAAAAAGTTCTATCTTGGTCTCATCAAACCAGAGAATCTTATTTCTCACCATCTTAGTCCTTCAGATGTTTTTTAGCAAACTTCATGCGGGCTTTCATGTGTCTTGCACAGAGGAGAGGCTTCCGTCGGGCCACTCCGCCATAAAGCCCCGACTGGTGGAGGGCGGCAGTGATGGTTGACTTTCTACAACCTTCTCCCATCTCCCGACTGCATCTCTGGAGCGCAGCCACAGTGATCTTTGGGTTCTTCTTTACCTCTCTCACCAAGGCTCTTCTCCCCCGATAGCTCAGTTTGGCCGGACGGCCAGCTCTAGGAAGGGTTCTGGTCGTCCCAAACGTCTTCCATTTAAGGATTATGGAGGCCACTGTGCTCTTAGGAACCTTAAGTGCAGCAGAAATTTTTTTTGTAACCTTGGCCAGATCTGTGCCTTGCCACAATTCTGTCTCTGAGCTCTTCAGGCAGTTCCTTTGACCTCATGATTCTCATTTGCTCTGACATGCACTGTGAGCTGTAAGGTCTTATATAGACAGGTGTGTGGCTTTCCTAATCAAGTCCAATCAGTATAATCAAACACAGCTGGACTCAAATGAAGGTGTAGAACCATCTCAAGGATGATCAGAAGAAATGGACAGCACCTGAGTTAAATATATGAGTGTCACAACAAAGGGTCTGAATACTTAGGACCATGTGATATTTCAGTTTTTCTTTTTTAATAAATCTGCAAAAATGTCAACGATTCTGTGTTTTTCTGTCAATATGGGGTGCTGTGTGTACATTAATGAGGAAAAAAAATTAACTTAAATGATTTTAGCAAATGGCTGCAATATAACAAAGAGTGAAAAATTGAAGGGGGTCTGAATACTTTCCGTACCCACTGTATACACTTTCAGAAAGTCTTCCAGTTTTGTTGACATTCACACAAAGAATTTACAAAAATCATTTCAGTTTTAATCTCATCTTCATCTCAAAATTTCAACATTGTGTCAACTACTGATGAACACATTAATTTTTATTTGAATTATCACTTAGTGGGTTATTTAATGTGTTAAGACTTTTGTCTTTTTTGTCTTTCAAACATTAAAATGCACAAGTTCATGTTATTTCTTAATTACACATGATGCAGGGAACTTTTTTTTTATAGTCAGCCAAACCTCTTTCACCTAATAAATGTATTTGAAGCTCCTCTAAGATAATAAGGTATTAAGTTAATAATTAAGTAACACGTGTGCATATTCACGGTTCAAAAGTAATCTAAAAGTAATCAAAAGTAGTCTGATTAGGTAATGGATTATGCTAGTAACCACAGTTTTTGTCATGTAATTTGGAATCAGTAATGGATTACAATTTGTAAATACTCAGCAATGCTCATTTTAATAAGTTAATAAGTAACACATTTGAATATTCACGGTTCAAAAGTAATCTAAAAGTAACCACACGTAGTCTGATTCAATTACCTAAGATGTGTAATGCAATTGATTACATTACTAACCACAGTTTTTGTCCTGTAATTTAGGATCAGTAATAGCCTACAATTTGTAAGTAATTTATCCAGCAATGCTCATTTTAATAAGTTAATAATGAAGTAACGTGCATATTCACGGTTGAAAAGTAATCTGATTATATAACCTAAGACATGTAATGTAATGCATTACGTTACTAACCACAATTTTTATCATGTAATTTGGAATCCATAACAGATTACAATTTGTAAATACTCAGCAATGCTCATTTTAATAAGTTAGTAATTAAGTAATGTGCATATTCACGGTTGAAAAGTAATCTAAAAGTAATCAAAAAGTAATCTGATTATATTACCTAAAATGTGTAATGTAATGGATTACGCTATACTAACTACAGTTTTTGTCATGTAATTTGGAATAAGTAACGGATTACAATTTCTAAGTAATCCACTCAGCAATGCTCATTTTTGATCACAATATAAGTCTTCAGTGTCCGCGGCGTAGAACTTGACCGCATGATCACCACTGTCCAAGACAACAAGCACGTTCAACGCCGTCGCAGCGAATGCCGCTGGACGCATCAGTCCGCTCACTAGCGGAGTCAGCGCAGGGTTTTTCTGTGGATTTCCCAAACTCCAAACCATGCCATTCTGCACATCCCCAGCAACCACGTCTCCATTTCTATCAAAAGCCACCGCAGATATAACCAAACTCAAAGCGCTCTTCAAGTGAAGACCGAAATCGTCCATCTGCGTCAAAGGAACGAAGTCACTATTGAATATCCTCAGCGTGAAGCTGCTCCGAAGTCGCTCCACGATTGCGATGTTTCCCGAAGCTCTGCAAGAAGCAACCGAACGCGGATGCATCAGTTCTTTCAAAACGACTCGCTTAGCTAAAACCACGCCATGAGAAAAGTCCATTACGACTTGGTTTAGGGTTCCCAACTCAGCGTCGGTCACTAAAACTCGTCCACGGTTGTCTACATCTACACCCCACGGCAGTCGAAAACCTCGAACAGTCGCCAGAGGACGGCCTTTGGACGTGAAGACTTTGAGTGATTGGTCACCAGCATCGGCGACCAAAATGTGTCCGGTTTTAGTCAAAGAAACATCTAGTGGGTAACAGATGTTGGACGACTGTCCAAAGACGTTTAAAAGAGTTCCTTGTGCATCAAAAACAACGACTCGTTTATCAGCATCGTGCACCACAACAGTCTGTCCTGATGTTTCGTCCACAGCCATTCCAGTAGGGTTGACCATCGTCCCCCATCCTCCGAAGGCCAAATGGAGACGCAACGTCCCCCAACCCAAGCTTTCAGTCCATTCTTGATGATCAGAGGACAATTTGGAATGAGATTCACACAACAGGAGCTCTTGGAGATCTGCAAGCGCACGGCATTCAGAGGTGCTGCCAACGTCCCACACTTTCCTACAAAAAGGACACTCTAGTTTCTTCTGGACGGAGTGAGACAAGGCACAGACGCATTTGAGACAGAGCACATGGCCGCAGGGAAGATTTTGTGCCGTTTGGTCTTTCTTCTGCAGGGAGAACCTTTCAAAACACACTTTGCACTCCAGCAGGTTCGACTCGATCTCTGTCAGGACGTCTTCGGCTCTCATACATGATGGGACGGGCGTCTCGGACATCTTGTGCTTTATATAAATAAATACTGGCCTAATGACTGGCAAAAATGGGTTGAGGGGATAAGAGAGAGCTTTAGGACAGCAAACATGATCATGTGACTGTATAAACATGAGCTGAGAGTCTGTACTGCCCTCTTGTGGTGAGACGACAAAATCACTTTACATTTGAACAGCAGAGAAACCTCTCAACGTTTCATTTGAAGACATTTTTACTATTACTAATTCAATTTAAAAAAGTCTAATATGCCTATACAAATATCATCTATAATAAGCACTGGTTGATTGAATGATACCACAAAAATACATATTTTACACTTTAATAGGGGTTTGAAGTAAAAATACTTCAGAAAAGAAATGTCTGGATTCTGTTTTACCTCAAAATTAAAAGAAAAAACCAGGAGACATTATATTTTGCATTAAAAAATGGTGTATACACTATAATGTGACAATTTACTATAAATGTGTAAATTGTGTAAACTCAATTCAAATCTGTATTATTATTATTATTTATAATAATAATTAATAACCAATAAAAAACTGGAAATTTTGGTATAGTCTATATATAAACTACAACCATAAAACTGTATAAAAGCAATTCAAATCTATTTTATAATCATTAAGCATTACAAAAGTGAGAATCTGATATTTTGCTTAAAGAAAATTGTCTATATATTCATTGACATTATTTACTATAATCATAAAATGTTATAACAGCAATTAAAGTCTGTATTATCATTAATAATAAGCGTTAAAAATATGAGAATTTCATATTTTCCATAAAGAAAATTGTCTATACATCATCCACTATAATCCTAAAATTCTATAATAGCAATTAAAATCTTTAATATTCTTAACGTTAGTAATACGAAGTGTTACAAAAGTACGATTTTTTTATTGTGCGTACAAAAAATAGTCCATATATTCACTGTGACATCATTTACTATAATCAAAAAATTGAATAATAGCAATAAAATATTCGATATCATCATTAATAAAGCATTACAAAAGTCAGAATTGCATAATAGCAATTAAAACGATATTATTATGAATAATAATAATAATAACAGATGCTTTTAAATCATACAATTAAATTTAAATGATAGAAACTACAATTTTTATTATTATTGAATTTAGTGGGTAAATATCCTTAATTGTCCTGTAAATTGCACAGCAAAGCATGGTCCTAAAACAGGCTTTCTGAAACATGATCTGGTTCTGTGAGGTGTCTATACGTGTCTATTTCTGTCTGATATCTGACTCCACTGGTTAGTAGAGCTGGTCAAATGAGCTCAGCGTCCACCGAAGCAGATCACAGCTGAGGAGCGGCCCAAACACTTAAACACTCATACAGTCACATCGGCTATTTCCACAGTATCCTCCAGCAGTTCTGTCATGGGTGGCATTTAATCCAAATATGATTGTGACTGAATGTTAAAGCACACACTACTATATCTATTCGGTCAGTTCATTATCAATATTTTATTGGTTATAACTACTCCTGTTAATCAATAAATAAATATTAATATAATTATATAATATATATATATATAAAACTGGTTTTTAATAGAGTTAATATTTATATTATATTTAATATTTATAAATAATAATTATCATTTTTAAGTCACTTTGGATAAAAGCGTCTGCTAAATGACTACATGTAAATGATTAAAAATGTAGTATTAATAGAATAATAATAGATATTTATATTCATCATTATATTATAATTTATTTATTTTTTTTTAAATCTAATCATTTTTTATTTTTTTTTTTACAAATGGAACGGCATCTGAAGGGACAAACAAATGACTTATTGTGCTGGTTAAGAAAAGGCAGAAAAGCCCAAAACCAAAATAATACAAAATACAAATCACAAGAAACATGAAATTTAATCACAAAATTCAGTTACATCCCAAGTAGTTGCATGTAAATTGTGATCAAACAAACACATAAACAAACGTCATATATTGAAAAGCTGCAAAGTTCAGTCACGTTGTGCCATTCTTAATATCACCGAAAGACACGGAATCGTTTACAATTAACGTGAAATGCAAAAATCAGGACAAAAAGGCATTGAAATGTTTCACAGGAGCCAAACAGATACACGACACACGAGTTTGGCAAATAGTTACGAAGCTTCACGTGACGCTGCAGATCGTCGCATTAATACAGGACAAGGTGTTTGATTATGAACACTAGTGATATATCAACCAACACTTAACAGATGCGTTAGTGTGAGTAACAAACCACTGACAGCCCAGTCAACGGATGAGCAGACTCCTGTGTGAACCGTGAGGTGAGTGCAAAACATTTCAGATACTGCAATTAAAACAAGACCAGATTTACACACACACAGGTAACAGGTGATAGTTATTGAAACATGCACGCAGGCACACGATATCTGTGTTAAACAGACACAGAAGTCTGTGAAGGCTTGAATACTGCTGTAAGGGTGAGATGATCAGGATCATATTAATGTGATAAATATAATGTGACGATTCTAGCAAACATGCAAAACTAAAAACTACAGAAGCTTATTTCCACCGAGGAACAAAACAATAAAAATCTCACTATTCGGAGTTTTTCCTCACAAGTCTGACTTTTTTCATAAATGATCATCTTACATTATAATTTGTTAAAATGTAATGTTTATGGTTTCGGTTTTTGCCTTTCTCTTCACTGTATATAAACTGGATTTCTGTATGTCTACAATTACATTTTGAACTGTGCCATTGCAAATGCAAGAAATATGAGATAGCATGCACAAATGTGAGATCTCAACTGTGACAAAAAGTCAGAAATGTGACAAAAAAAAAAAAAACAATTGAAATGCGAGATAATTTGAATTGCAAGAAAAAAAGATAAAACAAGTGAAAGGTGAGAATAAACTAAATGTGAATTGTGAGTCAGAAATGTGAGATAAATCTAAATTGTGAGAAGAAAAAACAGAATTGCGAGAAAAAAATCTTTTGAGATAAATGCAAATTAAAATTGTTTTATGTAATTACATTTAAATTTTACTTTAAAATTGTCATACGTGAGATTAAAAAAAATCAGAACGGTAACAAAAAGTCAGAAATGTGTGAGAAAAAAAATGTAAGGAAAAAGTCAGAAATGTGCCCTTTTTTTATTTTGACAAGCTTGTTTTCTCCAAGGAATAAAAAAGAAAAGAAAAAAGGTCAATTGTGACCATATCTCACATTTCTGACAAATTTTCTCACAATTCTGATTTTTTTTCTCTCATATTTCTGACTTTTTTCTTGCATTTGCAAGTTTGTCTCACATTTGTCAGCTGTAACCTTGCAATAAGATTTTCCTGCGCAGAATTGAATGCATCTCTTAATTCTAAAAAAGAAAAGTCAGAATTGTAAGAGACTAAAAGTTCAGAATTACTTTCATTTTTATTGCGTGGCTGAAATAAGCTTCCACGAGAAACACATTGAAAACGGCAGCAGCTGGAGAAGCAGAGATGCTCTAGAAACAAACATCACACGATAAAACATCCTGCGCTTCAAGAACAACATCAAACTCGGAAAGTGCTAAAAACCATGTGCTTTCGGTGAGACTCAGGCCGGTGAACCTGCATTCATCTCGAACATGATTCGTTTAAAGCAGCTTAACCTGGAAACATTCAACTCAGTCTGGATCAAACACAGCAAGTCATGCCTCAACATCTAATGCCACTCGCAAACCATTTTACCTCCACAATCTGATTTACAGTACATTAGCATTCAGATGTTTGGGGTCAGGAAGATTTTATTTACCGTATAAGAAAGAAATACTTTTATTCATCAAGGATGCGTTAAATTGATCAAAAGTGCCATTAAAGACATTTATAATGTTACAAAAGATTTCGGTTTCAAATAAATGCTGTTCTTTTGAACTTTCTATTCATCGGTGAATCATGAAAAATAAAATGCATCACCGTTTCCACAAAAATAACGGGCAGCGCAACTGTTTTCAACATTGATATTAATCAGAAATGTTTCTCAGCATATCAGAATGATTTCTGAAGATCATGTGACACTGATCCAAATCCAAAATCCAGCTTTGATCACAGAAATAAATGACAGTTTAACAGATATTCACATAGAAAACGGTTATTTTAAATTACAATAATATTTCACATTTTTTACTGTATTTTTGATCAAATAAACGCAGCCTTGGCGAACAGAGCAGACTTCTTTCAAAAACATAAAAAAACAAAATCTTAACCCCAAACTCTACACTTACATTTTTATGACTAGCACTAAAAGAAAATCATTTTAAAAGAACATGCACCAGCAAAATGCACAATAAGAATGTGTTTTAAGAAGGTAAATTCTGATATAATGTTGACTTTAAAATATGATAATTTGTAAACACATTATGATATGAATAACATACTCTGAAATCGGCTGCATACCGTAAAATACAGCTGTGACATCGAATCCAGCACTGATACGAGTCACGCATGCGACTGAAAACACCAGCTATGCTTGGGATCTAACCTGGTTAACCAGTCTCTGTAGGTCAACAGGTAAAGTGAGCTCGCTAACTAAACACCGGACACACAGGATTGCCTTTTCAAAGGGTCTTGCATCATCATCATCATCATCATCTGATGTTGCTAACAGGAGCGACACCTGTGCAAAAGTTCCCGTCGAAAAGCCTTTCAGAGATGGCCTTATTTCTCCAGGCCGTTGATGCTTCTGATATTTCCCGAGTCCCTCCGTTTCCTGGTGGAAGAGGAAGTTGTGCTGTCCGCCTCAAACTCCCCTACAGCACAAACGCATTACAATGTGACAGAAAACACTGGCACGTATGTTTGAGTTCATGCACAGAATGCACAAGGTATAATGCATGCATGTTCGCAAAGATCTAGAAGGAAACAAATCAACTTGACTGGATATTTCACAATTGCATAATGATATTTTACCGTTTCTGCAGATATAGTTTGTATACTGTACATAGCATTGACTGTAAGGGTTATTATCATTAACTAAAACCATAAAAAACTTAAAATAAACATTAACTGAAATAAATAAAAAAAAAATTAATCTTTTTTTTTTTTAGCTAGTCAGCAAAGCAATAAATAAATAAACTTTATAATTATAATGGAAAACATAAAAATAAAAACTAATTCAAAATATTTTAAATGATATTAAAAAAAAAATGACTGAAAAAGTAAAATATTCAGAATATAAAAAAAAAGATATCTAACGAAAATGACAAAAATAACCCAACAAAATCATTAAAATTTTTACTGTAATTAAAACGAAACATGGAAAATGCAAAACTAAAAACTAATTCAAAATATTAAAAAGCAACATCTAATAAAAATGCCAAAACAAGCCAACAAAATTATGAAAACTTTCAAAATAAAATAAAAAAGGGAAAAAACAAAAATAAAAACTAATTCAAAATATTAAAAAAAAGATATCTAATAAAAAAGATGACAAAAAAACAACAACAAAGTTACTAAAACTTTCAACTTAAAATGAAAAATGGAAAAATACTAAAATAAAAACTAATGCAAAAAATGAAAAAGCAATATCTAATAAAAGTGTCAAAAACTAATTCAAAATATTAAAAAAAAAAACAACATCTAATAAAATCGACGAAAAAACCCAACAAAATTATGAAAACTTTCAAATGAAAAAGAAAAATAGAAAATGCAAACAAAAATTAATTCAAAATAATAAAAAAGATATCTAATTACAAAAAAAACTATTTCAAAAAAAAAAATAAAACAATAAATAAAATAAAACAAACATAATAAATAAAAAACAACATAAAACACTACCTGGATTATCTAATAAATTTACCAAAATGTGCAACAATATTATGCTTGACTTGACCTTCCATTTCCAGTATGGCTTCCAGTGTCACTTATTATATATATATATATATATATATATATATATAAAAAAAAAAAA